AAAAATAGCAAATAGCATAAAAATGTGTGCTGCTGTTTGGCATATTGCTTTTATGGTATTAGTGCTTAACGTATTTTTAGTTGTTTTTCTTAGTTTATATCCTAGATCTTATTACTGTTTTTCTTTTACATTTTAATGTTGGACCCTGTGTACATAATCTCATTCCACCACATGTACCACATGTGGTGTGAATGACATATAAAGAGGCTCTGATTCTAACTCTGAAAACAGCTAAATACTAGCTAAAATAGCAGAAAAAGCTGAAAGGAACATAACAAGCCAAAACTAGCAGAAAACAGTTATTTGGGTTGAATGTAGCTAAAATTAACATGAAAAAAATTGAATTTATAAGAAAACTGCTGAAATTAGCTAAAAAATGCTAAAAGATGGCTGCAAAAGTAGAACAAACTTAAATTAGCAGAAGAAAGCAGAAAGAACAAAAGTTTACCCATTTAGGTTGAAAGAAGCAAAAACGAGCACAAAAAAGTGGAAATTATCTGAAAGCAACAACGACAAAAAACAGCTGAAAATAACTAAAAAGGCAGAAAGAAACTGAAATTGGAAGCAGGAAGTGGAGAGATAACATTTTTGCTGAATTAGGCAGAAAAAAGTTTAAATGAGTGCAACAAACGTGGAATTAGCTGAAAAGGGTAAAATAAGCATAAAACAGCTAAATAGTAGCTGAAATTGCAGAAAAAAGATTAAACTTGCAAAAATAAATTGAAAGGAGCATAGCAAGCTGAAATTATGAGAAATAAGTTAGAAGAAGCACAAAAATGTTGTAGTTAGCAAGGAGCACAAAACAGCTGAAGAAACAGCTGAAAGTAGCTGAACCAGAACAAAATGTGAAAGGAGCAGCAAAAGGTTGTAAACAGATCTAAAGATCTGAAGGATGTAAAATGAGCTCAATTGAGGAAAAAAAAAGGCAAAAAAGGCTAAATATTTCAAAAAGCAAAAGTTGCACCAGTACCAAAAGTCATAGCTGTCATGTAAAGAGCTGAACGTTTGGATCTATGATTCGTTGAAATAGCAGCTTGAAAACTGGAGGACGAGAATTACGTCAAAAAATGTACGGAAGAAAAACGGATCACAACAGTGCGAATGCTTCATAAACGTTCACACAATAATTCCACATTCAAACAAACTTTTACGGTGAGTAATAAACTGCAGTTTTGCTATGAAGAAATTAATGATCAGGGACAAACAGCTGTAACATCTGAATTGTTGCATTAGTTTATTTTTATAATCAGAACTACGGTAAAATTGACTTTTTACATTAAAAATTTTTGTTCATAGATCCAATTTAAGATGATTCTAAAATTATATTAACTACATTGCTACATTTGACAGTTGTTTCCACACAAATGTACGCTGTAAATATATTTTCTGTATTTTTAGTCCTGCTAAAGCATGAAGTGCTAATGCTCATTCACTAAAAGCAGTTTGCTTTTACCTCCAAGCCCACAAAGCGAGGACTGTGCAGAAGTTAGGAAAAGCTGCAAACCCACAAAATAAATCCCCCCCACCTCCATTCATCATCTTGGCAGTTGTTGGAAAGAGCACCAAAGTTTATGTTTTCATGCAAAACTCTCCGGAGGCTTTTACGACATGAGAATCCCGACTGGACGTGAAGTGGGAACATGTAAGCTTTAGATAATTTGCGCTTGACCCAGTTCTTCTTTGAGAAATGAATTTCTGATCATGGACTGGCTTTTAGAGGGAACTCTTTCACATATTCTCTCTGTGTCTCACAGGTGAAGTCTCATCATTTCTCTCTCATAAAAGCTTCCAGAGCCAAACGAGTCCGAGCCATGTGCTGTGGCTGCCTCCCTGCGTGCTCTGAAGAATTCAGCCGAACGTCTGGACAACCTTTGCTGTGTTTGAGCCATAAACACCCAGGGCCTTCCAGCCTGATGAAACCTGTCCCGTTTGTTGGCCCAGTTCTGCTTTATTAACTCCAAACGTCTCCCCTAAAATTTGTCATCTCTGTTCAGAGCGACTGTGACGCACGGCACCCCCCTCACCACCACCCCTCAGACGTGAGACATAAATCACAGCGGAACCAAATTAGAATCTAAAAAAAGGAACAGAGTGGGATATTTTGGTGAGCCTCTAATAACTCGGCTGCTCGCTCAAGGTGGAACCGTTGAGCTGGCGTCGTGCTGAACACCACTGAGCCTCAGACACTAACGCAGATGAAAACCCATCATGTTTGATGAGAAATAATGATAAAACGGCTCTTGTTTGATGTCATTTCGATGCAACGCAAAGCTCTGAGAACAGCAGAAACTTGAGCAATGTTCAGGTGTGACTTTAGTTTTGATTTAAGAACACAGCTTTGCACAATCTACTGTATGTCTGAAGTAATAAAAAATATATAATATCCGCAGGTGCTATGAAGTTACAAGAACAGATGGCTGAAGAGATGGGATATCTGTTTAATTTAATTCAGTTCAATTCAAAATATTTTATTAATCCCAGAGGGAAATTAAATGTTGTTGTAGCTCATAATCCTGGTTTCATTTAGCGTTCTTATAGATGCTGATGGCTGTGGGCAGGAAGACCTCCCACAGCAGATCTGAAGAATCCGGACCCAGCGGGCCTCTCGGTCCTCCTAGACAGCAGGATCACCTGAATGTTGGGGAGAACTCCTCCCCGAGTGATAGCCACTCCTCTCAGCAGCTTGCTGAGCTCCTCATCATTGCCGACAGCCAGCTGCAGGAGTCAAGGGATGATCCTGGTCTTCTTGTAGCCATGAGCCACATTTCCTGCCAGCTCCAAGGATCTCAGCAGTCAGTCACTCGAGCACCTCCGTCAGGTAGACAGAGATGCATCCACGGCACCTCCTTTACAACTCATTTGGGATTTGGGGCTGTATTTGAGGTCATATTTGAGCTTTGAGATGTTAATAAGTTGTAAAAAGCCCCCTTGTTGTCATGGTTACGCATCATAACAAATGTCCAAAGTAAAAAACTTTACAGTAAAAATCCTTCCAGCTGCACAGCATCCAATACCAGAGGCCATAATCCTCCAAAAAAGAGGAAATAAAGTTTTCAAAAGCAAACTCTCAGGATGAAAGTAACAGCTACTCCAACATGCAGCCACCTTGAGCGGCGCAAGTTTAGCAGCCCGGGTTAAATTTAAAGTCTTTTAATACAAACTCTAAAAACCATATGAGGTATACTGAAGTAAAGTAGTCAGAACTGTTTTAACCAATAGGCTGTAGTTACTGCTGGCTGCACTAGAGGGAAGCAGCAGGAAGAGTCAATTAGGCATTGTTTCTTCTTCTTGTGCCACAATAAGTAATACTGACACATCATTTTGTGTGTGTGTGTTGAGTTTCCATCACCGAGGCGTTACTTCAGCTTGTGAAACAATATATAAAGCAGACTGGTGAAGCAGCTAAAGATATGTGTGGTAATATCCTGCAGGGGTGACTTCAGCATCAAACTTTCTCAGATAAATGGAATGAATTTGTAGCTTGGTGTATTTTTCAGGCTCAAAAACTCCTGTTGGGAAATCATTTGGCAGAATTATTTTATTTTTATTTTATCTATTGGCCTCCATTTTAAAATGTCTACAAAAAACTTTTAAAGTTGTTACATTTGAGACCTCAATATCCACTATGGCTGACTTGGAAATGAAAAGCTGTCATGGCTGCAGTAAGTAACTGGAACTCATAGGTTTGAGCATATTACACCAGTTTTGTCCTCCATTCACTGTCTCCCTCCCTGCGCTTACCAGAATTAATTTTAAAATTCTCCTGCTAACCTTTAAGTGCATAAATGGCCTTGCACCCTCTCTGAGCTTCTGGCACCATATGTTCCCTCTCGGGTCCTGAGATCATCTGATCAGCTGCTTTTGGCTGTTCCTAAAAGGAATGGAGCTCAGAGATGATCAAGCTTTTTCAGTCATGGGCCCCAAACTACAATCAGCACCCCAACATTAGACAGGTCACTTCACTTCCTGTTTTTAAATCTCTGCTAAAAATTCATCAGTTTTCTCTGGCATTTCACACTACGATGGAGCTTTAGAGCCACGCTAAGAAAAAAAATTACATATAAACAACAATAAAGTCATAGTATTATAAGAATAAAGTTGTAATATTATGAGAATAAAGTCGTAATATTATCCACTCCATCCCCAGCTGCCCAACCGGTGGTGGATGGACCAAATGCAGAGAGCCAATTTCGCCACTGTATGGGAACATACAATGATGACGATACATAACACATTATATTATTATTATGTGGATGGAGGCATATTTCAAAACAGTGACCCATAATGATCGCGGACTACTTCATAAACAGTGACGCACATTGGCGGCTGTCCACAGAAGGTGTGAGCTGACCCAGGAACGTATTATGAGTTTATTCTCGTAATATAACAACTTTATTCTCATTTCTTGTACGACTTTATTCTCCTAATATTATGACTTTTTTCTCATAATGTATTTTTTTCTTAACTAAAGCTCCGTTGTATCACACAGTGTGAATTGACTTCGCATTGTTTGTTCTGTGTTTTCATACTTTTTTCTTTAATGCTTTTAATTAAATTTGCAGTACTATAATAATTTTTTTCCATTAATTTTCTCTCATTCATATTGTGAAGCACGTTGGGAACAGCTGCTGTTTTAAATGTGCTTTATAAATAAAGTTGACAACTTGACTTAGCTTATGTTCATACTAGCTTTTAGCATGTCAGGCTAATGGCTAACGGCTAACAGCTGTTAGCTTATATGAGGCATATTTCTCCAAAGAGAGGTCGTTCAAAGAGCTACTGAGAGATAAACAACTTCCTGCTTTGACAGGTCAGTGTGTTTTATAGTTGGAGCCTAGTTTCTGTGAAATCATAAACAGCACGGTGGTTACATGCCGCTCATTTATTTGCTGGCACGTTCACGGACCGTGGACGTGAATTACTGTACACCGGGAGGATGCCGTCGGTATCAGTAGACCGGCTGCAACTTTCTGTGTTTTCTGGTTGCTAGGGGAGGAGCAAACAAAGCGGAGAGCCCTCAGCGCCTCCTTCTTGCATTATTTTCACCCATGCTTACGTCTGGGACCCGAGTTCCGCATTCCCGAGCCTGACGGTCGGTACTTAAACGAGCTGATGCAACGACCTCGGATCAGTCCTCGAACCAACCAGTCCGACTCCCGAGTCTTCCCCCGTCACATCGCAGCATTACTGCCTCTGCGGATTTTTGGACGCACAACGGGTGAGTCTGCCTTTAAACACCTCTTCACGCGCTAACCGTTACAGCCATGTCGCTCTCCCTTATTCTCCTGGAGTTGGCTAAATGTTGATACACAGTTGCATTATTTGCTATTAACACGCCTAAATAAGTATTATATGAATTTCCGTGCGGTGCTTCGGTCTGCTAATATCAATAAATGGCGATGGGGTGTACTCATTTTCCGTGAAAAGTGGGCGGTTTGTGACGGTTTAAAGTTTTCCTACCGCAGCAGCAGCAGGGCAGTCCGCTGCTAGCGGTGCCTTCAGGGACGTTTGTTGTTTCAACTGTTGTAGCAACTGTCATTCTTTATTACAGCTCGTTATTTAGACCCCGGTCTGCGTGTGTCAGGAGGTATTTTCATCTCACGGATTCTTCCACGCACTGCTTCTAATAAAAAGTGTCCGCTAGCCTCCCGGAGAGACGGTTACGTAACGCCGTCCTCACTGAAGTAGTTAACCGCTAACGGTTACCAAGGACGGGTACAGGGGGACCGCGGCCCCACGGGCACAGTGTCGTTAAAAAGGCCCCCCTCATATAGAGTCCAGAAACACCACAGACTGCAAACGGGGGGTGTTTCTTGTAAACCTCTGCATTCATTTGTTTTTAATTTACTGTGTCTTTTTGCACCCTTTTAGATTTAATTTTATATTTCAGAATGCAGCTTTACCTCTTGTTTTATCTAGGGGGGGTACACCCTACACCCTACTGTCAGCACTGCTTGTCCCCCGCAAAAGGTCATGACAGTAATAAATGAATAAAGTAGAGGCCAAAGCCAATAAATTATTGCCCATCCACTGCACCCTCAAGACTTTTGTATTTAAAATGCACCTGTCCAATAAATGCCTGTGTATCTGAAGTGTACAGCCACAACAGACCTGTTTACATGACCAGACTCAAGCAGCCTGATTAGCTCTCCTGATATAGGGGCGGCCAACCCAAGACCAGAAACTTAGCGGCGACACTGAATGAATAATATTAATTACTCAATTAACTTGTAATAAATCTTTATTCAGTCCAAAGATTTGAGTTTGTTACCATGGAAAATTGTGTCATCATAATTTCAATATCTGCTTCAGTATGTGCCGACAAATCAAATTGGTTGGTTTCTGAAACATAGGTCGTGGACAACACAAATTAATAGTCTTTTGAGTTGTTGAAGTCCTTTTGATCCTTCTGGAAAAATAAGCAGCTTTTGTTGGAGCAGAAGTTCAAAATGATGCTACAACTCTCAAACAGGAAGTGAACAATCTAGTGGACAAATGGAATTCTGGGTACTTTTTTGTTGTTGTTGTTAATGATAAATGCAGATCCTATCCACCCATTTTCTTTACCAGCTTCTCCTTTCTGGGTCACAGCGACCTGGCGCCTATTTCCAGCAGTCACTGCGCTTGCAAGTCCATCACAGGGACACACAGAGACAAACAACCATTTACAGTCTCACTCAAACCTAGGGACAATTTAGCGATGTTACTGAACCAAGCATGCATGATTTTGGTCTGTTGGAGGAAACTGAAATACCTGGAGAAACCAACACGCGCGCATGGGGGAGAACATGTAAACTTCACATAAAGGCCTCAGGCTAGGAGGCAATCCATCAGCATTCTTGATGAGAGCTGACAGCTCTAACCACTGCACCACTGTGCCACAAAAAATTGTACACAAATTCTCTGAAGGAAGCAGTAGGTCATTGTTTGGGTTCTGTTAGGTTGGTAAGTTGGACAAAGTCTTATTCCCTGAATCAGTAACTTATAAACACGCTGCTGTTAAGTCTCAAACTTCACCCCACTTCACTGACAGGATTACAGACTGCTGCCTAGTGTCAATGAAATGACTCATATTCTGAGCTGAACGAGTGTTTGACTGTCTACAAGTAACCCGAGGAAATATCCATCCATCCGTTACCTTTACCTGCTTCTTCCATTTTGGGTCACGGGGGTCGCCGGTGTCCATGTCCAGCAATCACTGTGCGAGGGGCGGGGTACACCCTGGACGGGTCTCCAGTCCATCACAGGGACACGTAGAGACAAACGCGACAAACGACCATTCACTCTCTCACGCACACCTAGGGATAATTTAGAGTTACCAATCAGCCTAACATGCATGTTTTTGGTCTGTGGGAGGAAACCGGAGTACCCGAAGAAAACCCACGCATGCACAGAGAGAACATGCAAACTCCACCCAGAAAGGCCCCTGGACCAGGATTTGAACCAAGGACCTGCTCGCTGAGAGGCAGCAGCTCTACCAGTTGCACCACCGTGCTGCCCATCCCGAGGAAATATATAAAACTAAAATATTAATACCGGTATATGGTTCTAATGTAAAGGCGGCACAGTGGCTCAGTTGGTGGAGCTGTTTCCTCCTCTCAGCAAGAAGGTCACTGGATCAAATCCTGACCGGGGGGGCCTTTCTGGATGGAGTTTGCATGTTCTCTCTGTGCATGCGTGGGTTTTCTCCAGGTACTCCGGTTTCCTCCCACAAACCAAAAACATGCATGTTAGGCTGATTGGTAATGCTAAATTGTGCCTAGGTGTGAGTGAGAGTGAATGGTTGTTTGTCTCTCTGTCCCTGTGATGGACTGGAGACCTGTCCAGGGTGTCCCCCGTCTCTCGCACAGAGACTGCAGGATATGAGCGAGCACCGGTGACCACCGCAACCTGAAAAGGAAGAAGCAGGTAAAGAAAATGGATGGATGTTTCTAATGGATCTGTTGGAATGACCTTACTGGGAGACATAGTCATTCTGTTAACACTTTAGTCTTATTGATGTTACAGGAACTTGTTACTGTAGTCTGTAGCTTCTAAACCTTTGTTTTCATCCGATGCTGTCTACACTAAAATAAAGCACAGCACAACACCTGATGCATGTGAACGTCAACGTTATTACAAATCTGTGCACAGATTAACTGGAGCAGTTGAAAACTTATTTGGCACCATGACGGCTCAGTGGTTAGCACTGTTGCCTCACAGCAAGAAGGTCCTGGGTTCAATCCCCGGTTGGACCTGGGGTGTTTCTGCGTGGCGTTTGCATGTTCTTCTCGTGCTTGCCTGGCTTTTCTCCAGGTACTCCGGTTTCCTCCCACAGAACACAAACATGCATGTAGGCTGATTCAGGCCCAGGCCTCCCCTTGCAAAAGAGCTCTGTGATCTCAAAGGGATTAGCCTGGTTAAGTAAAGGTTAATAATAAATAATAAATCTGAAATAAACTCTTACAAGTATTGCGCATACCATTCAACCAGCGTCATTAAACTTGACTGGCTAGTTTTTGCGTCTCCAACTTCTTTAGATGGATAAACGACGACTGCCACATGTACAAAATGTCAGTAAAATATCATATCCTTTGGATGGAAGGATTAAAATTGGATAAAGTAATAACTTTGCAAAGAATATTCATTAATGTTAAAAATATGCGCTGTCTTGAACTTGATATAAATACAGTCCAATGGTCATAGTGACATCTTAAAGTAGCGTAGTTTGTTATCTCGTTTGACTTTTTCTCCAGTGATTAGAGCCGCCTGCTTTTGATCATATTACGTAAATAAAGAGCTTCCAGGAAGTCAAGCTCTAATAACATCCTTTATTTACCCTATTTCTACAGCGTCCAAACGGAGATCATCATTGACAGAAGGCGACTGACAAGTTTTCTCTGAGTAAGTATTAAGCATTTACATGCACTCCCCCCCCCCCCCCCCACACACACACACACATCTTTGAGTAGCTAATACACCTTGAAACATAAGTGAAGTAAATGATGCGTGAAGTCTCTTTGGCAGCGTGTGAGCTCACCAAGTAAACTTTGCTTTTGGCACATCGTCTGTTTTTCTCCATAATGAACGAAGCGCACATATTTACACGTTTCACTACTAGATAAGGATTTATTACAGCAATTTAGTTCTTTTTAAATAATGTTGCTTTGATCTTTAGGCAATAAACACTATCCACATGCCCATCTGTAGCCTTCTTTGAACCATTTATATGGAGCTGTGTTACAGTTCATCAGTCTAGGCACGTGTCTTACAAGTCAATAGTGCAGTGTGAAATACCATTTTTATGGGGGGATTTATTATTATTATTTTTTTTTGTAAATGCATTCATTTACAATTAAAGGCAAAGTTGGCCATTTACAAGTTCATAGGTTCAGAGTTTTCCTACACAGTGCACGCTCATACAAACATACAGTATGCTGCAGGGGAAACTATTCTTGTGTTCTTATGTTTCCTTTGTGTCTCCATCCATAACTGAGCCTGTGCTGCAGAGGCATTAAATGCCCAGCGCCTGCCTGGACACATCCGTAACATGGTTTCCGCATAAACGGCACACGGCAGTGGATTAATGGGAAAGGGCTGGCGAGCCTACGAGCTGCACGGGGCCAACGGGGCTCAGAGGCTGGACGTGGGCGCACAAGGTTTATTTTAAATAGAAATGCCTTCCAGTGCGTCTCCGGAGAGCTAGAATTGCTGAGCTGCTCTCAGCGCGCTGAATAGACAGCAGACGCATTGCAGACGAGCAAGCCAACTATGCAACAGCTCAGTGGTACTAATACTAATGCTGGGGGAGCAGCTATTCACTGCTGTGGGTATCACAGTATCACCATAAGCCTTTCCACATGGCTTGTGAAAACAGTGTCAAGTCCGACTAAATGTACAGTGTGGAAGCAAACCCACATATCCAAAAGTGTAACAGGAAGGAGGGACATTCAAATCAGTGCTTTTGCGTAGTTGTGCTTTCCAGATTTTTCAGATTACTTTTGGACCTGAAGCCAGTTTTCTTTGTTTGGATACTCCTGCCACAAAATATTGACCAGACATTTTTTTTTTTTACTCCCAGAGTCTGGGCGCTGCTACAGAATCACATCCACAACACAGCTCTGTGTCTTGGCAGTACAAGTGTGTGCTTGACATGGAACAGATGAGGAAATATCAGAGGACAAAGTCTGAAAGAGCACTGAAGTGACAACCGCACGTTGCGTAACACCACTGATTGCTTCAGCAGGCAGCATTAAATCTAATTTTCTGGACTTGCTTGGCCAATGTCTTGCCGTCAGAGATTGCGCATTACTAACATCGGACTTGTCGTAGAAGCAAACCAGCAGTGGCAAAGCTTTTGTCTACATTTCAATTTTCTTTTCTTTTTTTTCCTGATTGATTTAATCCACGTCTGAGCCAAGACAAAGCTCTCTGCTATGCAGCCTAATCCTGACTTGCAGCATGAAGAAAAATAGTAACATTATAGTAACCCAAGCAGGACCACCCAGACGCACGAGCTGATGTGTGACTGCTTGAATGAAGTCGACCAGAAGGATCTCCAAAGTGTGAACCAAAAGAAAAATCAGCTGAAGTCTACAGATTACAGTTTCAGTCTAAGCTTCATCACTTGAGACAGCAGGTTCACGTTAAATTTTAATTACTGTTGTGAACTGCTTTTGGAAGTTTAGTTTAAGAAAAAAAAAAAACATTTTGAAAAGTTCTATCTGTGGCAAAGAAATGAAAGCAGAAATGAAAACTTCGTGTCGACAGTCACTTCCCACTCGGTCACCCTTTGACTTTAGCACTAAGGCGGCGATACCAGCAGCCTCTGACTGCGTCTCCTCTTTGCCTCTTGTCTGGTCTTGTCACTCCAAAGAAAACAGAACAAGAGGTTGGAGCAGTCTTGAGACTGTATATTTGGACTGTCCTGCTCTGGAGTAGATTCTTTGCCAAATTTTCTGGTTTCCCCGGAGGATTGTGAAACGCTGCACCTCAGCGCACAGCGCAGACGGTAATGATGATCACCGAGACCTTGGCTGAAGATTGAGAGCGTGCGCCTTGGCTGACGCCTCCTTGCACATTTCTTATATTCAGCATTTGCCTGTAGAGCTGGAGCTGCAAAATCCGCCTGCAGAACTTTTTTGTTTTGCATAATTTCAGCATGTGGATCGTGCCTTTCTGTTTATCTCGAGTTATTTGACAATCTTGTTCCTTATCATGGAACAATTTGGAGCATTCAAAGGCATAAAAGCAAGAAAATGGTAACAAATGCTGCTGAGGGTAATGTGCATTTTAACAAGCAGCAGTTAGTGAAGGTAGTGAGCAGCCTTTGAACACCCCCCCCCCCCCATTCAAAGTTTCTACAGGAATGAGGATAATGGGGCCTCCAGCCGTGCCACTGGCTGCTGGTGAGGAGCTGAATTCCTCAGAACTTCTAATTGCTCTCAGGAAACGGACACGTTTAGTGGAGCTGCAGACAGATAAATTATGTGAGCGAAGAAACGAGTAAACTGCACTATCTGCCCTGTTAACGTGCACTCACTGGCCTGTTCTCTTCACCCCCTAACTCCAACTCACATTGCAAAGATTTGCTTTGGGCCAAAGCCAAAACATGAGTTGAGGGTTCTATATTTCCACAAGTAATACTTGGCATTTCCGCTCCCCGCCCTTGGCTTCAGCCGCTCTCCCTCTCGGTTAGCCCCGAGTGCTCGTGGCACCCACAGTTTTCATGCTGAGTTTTCTGGGTGTCTTTGTTCGAGGGGTAAAGTGGGCCCACAAACTGTGGCGCTGGCCTTTTCTGCTTGACTGCAAAAGCACAGTAACAGTGTTGCATCATCAAACGCTGACCGCTAATCTTCGGCTGCTGCTGAGAAGAAAAAACAACACCGAAATACGCTTCTTATGAAAAAATGTAACGTTCACTTTGACTCATGCTTTTGAGTGTAATTATGAGCTGCGACATGTGCCTCAGCAAACTTTCCCTGCACTGTGCAGAGACTTCAGGGTTTCATGTCTTCACGTTTGAATGGGCGCTGAGTTTTTCGATGGAGGGGGGGTTCAAAGAGGCAGAACTGATTAAACACAACAAATGTACTTAAAGGTGTGACATTCCAAGAGCCTGTTGTGTGTTGGCGTACAGCATTACCATGGGTCATCACAAACTGAACTTTCAAAGCTAATGAGTTCAGTTTCAAAGCAGCAATTCAAATCCAGTTTATGACGTTGTAAGTTTCAGCCCATACAATGCTCACTGGTCTGAAGAGGCGCGCAACGCACTTCATGTCCTAACTGATATTCCAACGTTGTTTTGCCTGCTTTTCTTCCAGGGCTTCATTTAATTATCGAGTTGCGTAAGAGTGGATTTAATGGATGTAAAATTAGAAAACTCTGGAACTGATTATATTTTTGTCCAGAAAAAAAAAAAAAGAAGCGCTTTCCAAGTTTGAGCCTGATTGGAGTCTGTACAGGAGCCATGAGTGTCTGGCCAGCGTGGTGGAGCTAGCAGTGATTTTCTCCACCAGTCCAAACGGAGACGTCTGACAGTCATGGCTGTGCTTCCAAAGCTTAGTGTTTGAACTGCGTCTCTTCAGAACATGGAGGCGCATCGATCACAATCAGACCCTCGATCTTACGTATCCTGTCAGATCTCTTCTGAGACCCTCATCTGAGATTTTATTTTTTTTGGACCAGAGTTGTCTTGTTCGTGTCCAAAGCTTCCTGCAACGACTGTAAATGAGAGTGTACATTCAGTGGGAGAGAGGAGGGAGGGGCGGCAAGAATTCATGAAATAATAATAAAATAAATCACGAGGCGCTGGCTGCACAAAGTAACTTCTCCTGTACGGAGACTGGGGCTGGTACTGGACGGGTCAGTCAGAGGACAATGGCATGTTCTACCATGAATGAACTGCTTCTGTTTGTAAAGTCTGAAACTTTTTCTTTGGAATGAAAACAGGTGATATGACACGGACAAGCTTATTGGAGGGAAACAAGTCTCAGATGAAATACCGTTACCCCTCAGTATAGATTCACATATTTGGTGTTCATCGTCCTAAAGAGACTGTAAAAACATTTTGGGACTATTTCATACACAGGGTGGAGTACATTAGAGTTACACAACCCCACTCTTTATAACCTCCTTCACAGGCTTTGTAATAGTCTTTTTGTACCAAAAAAAGAGCAGAGAAAAAGAAAAACGTCTAACTTTCAGCACAGTGTCTGTCGGATAGTGAGCCACCAGCAGTGTCAGCTGTTTTTGCAGCGCCTCACAATACACGTCTTTGTTGGATCCATATGAGAGGGCCTTTGTTCGCTTTGTGCCCAACCTGCGGACGCTCAGCTGCAGCTGGAAGCTCAGGAGGCAAATGTGAATAAAGCTATTAATCTCAAAGTGACTCCGATATAAAACTTCGCCGTAGCCTCAGGTTTGCTTGCCAATCCCAATTTGTCGTCCGCACAATGAAGCTGTTGAAGAATTGTCTCACGTGTGTAGGCGTTCGGCAAAAAAAAAAAAAAAAAAAAAACCTGTTCAGATCCACCCAGTTCTGCTCGTGCAGCGTCTCACCACTGAAGATCTGATTTACCCAACGCCTTTCAGAAAACACACTCCCTTTATGTCTTGACGTGGACAGAATCTGTTGTTTCAGTCGTCCTTTCAGCAGAATGGAGTTCTTTTAGACTGTTCTCATATGAAACATTTGTTTTTTATTTGGTCATCAGTGGTTTTCCATCTCTGAGCCCTCAAAGTAATTACAGACATCTTAATTCTGCAGCCTGCTCCTTTTACTCCTGAACAGCCGCTTTCTTTCCCTTCATTTGGTCCTTGATTACTTTTAAAGATCACTGCGGTCAAACCCTCCACAAACAGTCCTAAATTATTGGAAGAGGGTGGTGACGAACCCACGAGTGTTCGCTACTCTTTGATGTTTTAAACCCTAAAATAAACTCTCATGTTTTACACTGGAGCAATAAAATGATCAGAAGCATCGATGGGGAAGAAGGTGCTCAGTTGACGAGCTCGTACCAGAGGCTTCCCGTCACACAAGAAGTTACACACAAGTGTGTTACTGCTGACGGTGTGAAGTTACTTTTTTCACCAGATGATAACACAGCTGTCAAAACTGTCAACTTTTGAACATGCTCTTGGACACGGCAACCCATATTTATAGACATTTGATGACAAGGACCGAAGTGTTTCCTGGTATGTGATGGGAAGCTGCAGTGAGACCCACAGTTCATGAATGTTTTGTTTCGTCTCTGATAAATGTCACTGCGAACAGCCGTGATCCATTCTGCTCCTTGATCTGTTGCGTTTATCAGAGCTAGGGAGAATCTGTTTATGCAAACATTATTTGCAGCACAGCAGATCCTAAAAACGATGGAGCCTGTGGTTTCATTTATTTTCTGTTTTGCAAACAACAAAACTGAAGTTGTTGTTTTTTTTTGAGGAAGAATCTTAACTATGTAACCTCATGAACCTCGCCTTACTTCCAGATGGCTTCAGTATAATAATAAAAACTTTATAAAATCTCTCCAGTTTACAGAATACATTGACACAAGTAATACAAATTTCTCCAAATAACTGTTTTATTATTTATTTAGTTATGTCTTCCAGTGTTCCGCTGCAGTTTTCACCAAAAGCTTTGGTAAAGTGACACCGTCATCGATCATTCTCTTCCTCTTTTCTCTTTCACACCACAGCGGCAGCGGAGGCCGGGTTGGACATGATGCCGGGACAGATACCGGACCCTTCACTGGCGGCGGGTTCCCTGCCCAGCCTGGGCCCGCTGGCAGGCATCTCAGCCACCACGCTCACCGATCAGCTAAAGCTAGCAGACCTCCATCATCTGGGCACCGTCATATCACCGCTGCATTTTCTGAGCAGGCTGGGGAAGAGGCCGCTCGCCATCAAAACGGAGGTAAGAGCAAATGAAGACGGGCACGTAGTTTGATTCAAAAACCTAAATATGAAGAGCAAATGTATTATATTAAAAAAACAAGACTAAAGTTGATAGTTTATTTGAATTGAAAAATGAAAGTTAGATCAGCATCGTTTTCTTTCATATAACGTCCAGTTAGCATTTATTTATTTTTTTATTAAAAACACCTTGTTTTTACAGATGGATGAAGATGAAGAGCGAAGAAAACGAAGACGAGAGAAAAATAAGGTTGCCGCAGCCCGATGCCGAAACAAAAAGAAGGAACGCACCGACTTCCTTCAGAGGGTGGGTTCATGACTCAGCACCAGAATAAGAAGAGCAGCTAAGAAAAGGCTGAACTTATTTATTCTCATTCTGCTGCTGCAAATTTAACCCAGTCAGTCCAGACGAGTGACGTTTCCCAAACCATTTATCCAACTATCTTCTTCAGGAGTCGGAGCGTCTGGAAATGGTGAACTCTGAGCTGAAGGCCCAGATTGAGGAGCTCCGTTTGGAGAGGCAGCAGCTGATGGTGATGCTCAACCTCCACAGGCCCACGTGCATCGTGCGGACCGACAGCGTCAAAACGCCCGAGAGCGAGGCCAACCCACTGCTGGAGCAGCTGGCCGCCGAAACCAAATGAAAACCGGGAAACCAGGGACTAGAAGTCTTTGAAGCCCAAACCAGGACTGTTGTGTCTGACGTTCAAACGAACACTTCACTGGCAATACGATTCTGAACAAGCACTTGAGCTCCACGATAGGAGACTTTGGCCCAAAGATCTGAGGTTGTGGGGTCGTCCTCAGTACTGCTACATGAGCTGGCTCTGTCCAGCAGAAGACTGGAAACACCTACTGTGCCTGCCTGGTCGTTACTTCAGCCTTCTCCACATAAAGGGACCAATGGAAGCGGGAGGTATGACTGGAGACAGGCCTGAGGAAACACACTAACAGCGTCACGGTGCTCGGTTACCAAAAAGTAGATAGTGTGGCACCGCGTCATCGCAAAGGCTCACAAAAACGCAGTGTTGTGCAATTTTCCTACGTATGCTAGATAAATATACAGGTGTAGAGTTTTAGGTTACAGCACTCGATGCAAATACACCAGACGGAGTGCAGTTTGTTGTTCTTAAATGTTGCGTTCCTGCCTTGACAATGGCAGTTACCGGTTGATCCGATTTGTGGTGACGCAGGCGTCCTGAAAAGCACATATTCACAAAATGTTTACACCCTTTATTTTTTTTTAAACATGTCTGTTCATTATTGTACTTGTTTTATACTGCTTTGTATACATAAACATATGAAATGCTCGTCGATCACTTGATGTGATTCGTCTTTTTTGGTCTTTTCGATTCGTCACGTTGCGCTGTCAAACAGCTGTGAAAACAAACGGAAATCTTTTCAGCCGAGCAGTTTTTCTGCGTCTGTTCCGCACCTGTATCTATGTACGAGCTCGCATATCCTGAATAGATTAAAATTTATTTTCGAACTAAAAGGAAGTAGTCCCTGTTTTTATTTTTATTGAGTTTAAATGTGCAGCATTGCAAAGTTCACATCGAGCCAAAATATCAAATGATTAAAAAAATTGTGCAATCGTGTTTTCTTCCACACATGCATGCTGCCGGAATCAGAGCTTCACTTTCATTTGCACTATTTTTTTTTTTTAAAAAAGGTCAGTCAGGCTTTTGTTTCCTTTTTTCTCTTAATCACTGTAACTTCCTTTTTCAGGCCTCTGCAGCGAAAAAGGTTCTCGTGACTTTTAGCTTCCCTTCTTTCTGCATGTTTTGGATCCTGACGGTGCATTCAGGTTCACTCTGGTCATAGTTTGAATTCTTACCTGAGTGCCAGCTGAGTAGAAACATTTAGTTTCCAAGCTCAAAAACTCATCACAGTGTAAACAAAAACAACGGGGAGGCACGATTTCCTTCTTACACACACAACACAGAAGTAAATCTTTTTCTTTTCTTTAAATTGTATTATATTTGTTGTTTGGATGAAATGAAATGAATAAATAAAACATACATACATACATAAATCCAACGCAGTGATAAAACATGAGTTTAAAAAGTAATAAGCATTTTTCAACATTTCATTCCTTTTTAAAATATATTTTCCCATAAAATATAGGTGCAAAATGGCCAAATACTTGTTGAAACGAGAAAAAAGTGAGGATTAAAAACGGAAAGGTGAAATAGTCAAACTAGGAAAGTCTGAATGAAATAGATCAGGAAATAAAAAGTGGTGAGTGACGGTGAACAGCGCCATCTAGTGGACACATGAATGAACTACCAGCTTTCTACTAAACGGTACAGAGTGTAATGATACTGTTATTAACTAAGCTGTAAAATAAAAAATTTAATTGAGATTTAAATTTTTATACCATTGTTTATATTTAATTGGTTTAGATTTGAGTCCCCCTGAGAACTGGAACTCCTTGATTTTTTTTTTTAAATCATCACAAAATTAAGAGGATTTTACATTTGGTTTATAAACCAAAGAAGTGATTTTCTTTATCTTTAATAACTAAAAGCAAGCTATTTTTTAATTATCGAGGTTCATTTAATCTGAGGTCTGTTTTAGGAAATTATTTGGAGAATTTAGTGAGTTAGCTTAAATTGCTAACAACCCAGCGCCATCTTTGACAAACAACGAGCTCTCCATTCATTTACTCCTCCAAGGTGTGCCACAAGTACACGTTCTAATATCTTTGGTGTAATGAAGAAGAAAGGGGACAATAAGAAGCCGTCCTACCAGTTGGACCAGGACCCAGAAACCCAGGATCAGAAGCAGGTCCAGGAGACACCCGGCGATGATGAGTGGGACACTGATCTGGAGTCAGGTTTGTTCCAAACTAAAAACTTTATGAAACAATTTTGACAACAGCCCCACCATCGCAACATGGACTCTGTTACGATCCTAAGATTTCCTACATTTTCATGTATAAAGTGTGTACAAAGTAGAAATGCTTAAGCTGCTGCATTATGGTCACCATGGTAACCACTGCCTGACAGACCTCATAGGACAGATGGAAACATACTGAAAAGTAAGCCTCAAACACACAGCTGCTAAATGAAGCGCTTCTGGATGCCTGTGAATTTTAATGTTTCTACAGAGGTTCATGACGTTAAAAAAACACTTCACTTCTAGTTATGGAAATAATATTTTGAACTTAAAAGTTTGAGCACCCTGACAGGATTTGTGAGAAAACTTTTAGTCCTATAGTGGTGAGAGACACTCTGGGCAAAAGAGGACTAAAATATCAATGTTCCAATGTGCAATTTGTAAATGTGCTAAAACAAATGTGGGAGTTTGTTAGCAGAATTATTAGCTCTCAAGTTGGTGTGATCTCACCGACAGTCAGTTACACTATGATTGTGTAAAAGCTGAAATAATAACAATAATAATAATAAAAATAAAAAATATGAAAATTCTAGTTTAGCCATGTAATGTCTTCCTTTCTGTGAGTCCAAGCTGAGCACCAAACAGGTCTGGGTTTTCTCACTTGTTTTGCCAAAGTCCTACTGTTTTTGTTAAGAAAACTGATTAACTATGAGTTTTAAATGCCAGTTCTTACAAGAAAACAATTATTTCTAGACCAAAAAACAAAACAAATACATAAAACTAATACTATTGTTGATGATGATGATAATTTTTTATTTCAGACAGACATTTCACCAACAAAACATAATAATAAAGATTTTCATGTTTCTAAGTGTAAAAACAATATCTTATTATTAAATATACATACTCAATTTTTATATACTCAAATACATGTAAATACTCCACTTTTTTGGTGACTGTGAGTCTGAAAAGGAGTATGATGAAGTTTAACTTATATAATCATACCCCTTTTCCATTCATTAATCCATAACATAAATAGTCTTCCTGTTGCCAGTATGCTTTTCAAAAAAAAAAAAAAAAAAAAAAAAGTAATAATAATAATAATAACTATAATACTATTTTCTGGACCAGATGAAAGTAATACATACACAATAAACATTCAATAAATAGGTCTAGATGGAACTACATTTCTAAGCATGTCCTTTCTCTGCTTCTGGATTTTTGTTGTTTTGTATCCCTATACTCATTTGGAACTATTTTCTTTCATTTTAATCTAATTGGGAACTGCCTAGAGAGGCAGCCACTTATTATTATCCACCTGAAAATGGTCTTATTCTTCAATCAACTTTAATACGGCTCAAACCGCAAAGTCTACCCCCCCAAAATTTATATCAAAACAACCGGCTCGTCAATGTGATGCGTGCTATTACTTTTATTGGCATTTTGAGTTCCCATGACGACATAATTTGCAAAGATGCCACTTTTCTTATTATAAAACAGACTTAATTAAAAGCCTCTGCCACAGTGAGGTCACATGACCCAGAGGGAAGAGGTCTCTGAACAAAATTCAGAAAGACATTGAACAAACTCTTCCTCCCACATCTTTTAAGAAACACACACATTACATATCAAAACGTAGGCATTTTCATCATCTACATTTTAAAGTGGCCACCACATGGCAGTCCCCATCAAAGTTTCTCCAGGAACTTTCTAATATTACTATTTTTCATTGCTATGTTTTGGTTATAACATCTCTTTTTATTTAGATTATGCCACGAATTTCCATCTTCAATTTCTGGGCTGGTGCTGGTTGGGACCATTCACTAATCTCTTTACTCTTTAAGATGTAACCACTAAGAAACAGGGCTCACAACGTGAACAACTGTACCTGAAGGCCTGTCGACAGATCGGAGCCGTCCCCATTTCCTTGTTCCTCCGCCACTTGGACGCAACCACCCTGAACTTAAACTATTATGGGGTTGGACCTCTGGGGGCCAAAGCTCTGGCCATAGCTCTTAAGGTAATAAATATAGACACTCACCAAAGATCCGTCAGGACATTTGCTTTGTTTCACCTAAACATCTTCTTTGTGCAGCCTTGCTTTGTGATAATAAGTTTTCCAGTAACGTAAGTCTGTTTGTTGGATGTTTTAGAGCGACCGTGTGGTCACCCACCTTCAGCTGGAGGACAGCGGCCTTGATGCAGAAGGGACGGATTATTTGATGAAGATGCTTCAAGAGAACAACACGATTTGCAGTCTTGTGACTATCCTTTAATGATTACGCTGTGAAGCCAACTTTTCTCACCAATGTACTTTTTGGTAAAAATGAACTGAATTTTTTTTTTGCTGTAGAACCTTTCCAACAACGAGCTGGGCCTGAAAGGAGCCATCAGCATCTCCAAGATGCTCTCAGACAATTATAACATCACAACCCTTAAACTTTCAGGTGTTCTGTTCAAATCCAATATTTTTATTTTTAGGTATACCAAATTACAGGTATGTGATGGAAACCAAGACAAGAAGCAGGTTTAATATGCGTACCTTCTGTTTTAGGAAGCAACTTGGATGATTCTGCTGCTAAATGTTTATCCGAAGCTTTAACGGTGAGTTACTTGATTTTGAATCCGGATGGATACTTTACTTCTGAGAAATCCAGCAGCTGTTGTTTCATCTTTTATCAACAGGGAGACTATGTGGTGAAGGAGTTGGACCTCAGTCACAATAGTTTCTGTGAGGCAGGGGGAGAACATCTGGGTGAAATGTTAGGTACTGTCTTGTAAAGGGCCAGTTGTCCTATAAAATAAGCAGTTGTTACATATTTGAATCCAAACGATGTTATTTCTTAAATTAGGGGAGGGGAAGCAATAATTGGTTAAAAAGTTATTTTGATAACAGACAGCAATATGTGCAAATTTGTCAGTTTAAATCTGCATGTTTGAATACTATCTGTGGGGTCCCACAAGGCTCATTACTGGGTCCCAAATTGTTTTATTATGCATATTAATGACATATGCAGAGTGACAACTATATTTAATTTTGTTGTATTTGTAAATGAAACAATTTTTTTGTTCTGGTGAGGATTTAGGATAAGCCATTACTTCTTCCTGCTCCCTTTTCGAACATTTTTGTTTTGTTTACAGTATATTTTGGTGGAAACATTTACCTTTTTATTTATGTTTTTTGTTTTGTTTTGTTAATACTTTAACCTATTCAAAATTAAATACAGAAAAAAATGAATAAGGAACACACTTGTGTTCCT